AGGACCAGGACAATTTGGGGTTGTAGTTTTTTCTGTTCTCCTACTACCATTCATTCAATTTATACCGCGCCCATCTAGACCAAAGTCTACTCTCTTTAGCAGCAGCTTTGCCTTCAGGCATTGAGCAGACTCATCGTGTAAGCATGAAGTTATCTCCCCGATGTGCCGATTTCTGTACATCTTGATGCTATTAAATGCACAGGACCAGGACAATTTGGGGTTGTAGTTTTTTCTGTTCTCCTACTACCATTCATTCAATTTATACCGCGCCCATCTAGACCAAAGTCTACTCTGAGCGGCTAAAAAGCATGAAGTTATCCCCCCGATGTGCCTATTTCTGTAGATCTTGATGCTATTAAATGCAAAGGACCGGGACAATTTGGGGTTGTAGTTTTGCCTAAAATGTTAACCACAGCCCTGTAAGGAAGTTAAAAAAATGGAATCAAAACAATATAATAAAATAAAACACTTTGCTTAAAATGTTAACCACAGCCCTGTAAGGAAGGTCAAACTCCATCCTGGGGGTGGAGAGAAGCCGGGCCCCAAGACTGGTTATGTTTAAGTCTACTTCTCACGTACCTGGCGCAGACAAGCTCTGAATACTCATTTCTATTCAGAATTTATAATAGCGCTGTTTAAATCACATCCTCTCCCTAAAGACTACTGCAGTTTACAGAGACAGTCTTCCTTCCCATTTAGAAAAGAGAGAGCACAAGAAAATGCAAAAAAAAAGAGAGAGAAAAAGATAACCAGGCTTTCCGCTAAGAAATCGTTCGGTGTATCCTAAGGAGCCGCAACAATGATGAACAAGCAGTTGTTGAAAAAACGTTTTCAAATAAAATAAAGAACCACCACCAAAAAAGGGCTTCTAGTCCTCATGAAGGTTCCACAGCAGCAAGTGGAAGGGGGCAGTGCTTGCACTGGCCTCTTTTCATGGATGGGACTTCTTTCTAGGAGGGCCAGGACTCAGGAAAGTTACTATTTTAGCCCCACTGACTGAGGGAATTCGGGGAGCTGTAAGGTTTGTTTGTTTTTAAGAATTTTTGTCTGTTGTCATGTGAAGGAACGTTTAATTAGTGAACAGAGCAAGGCTGTAATGAAGTAGGAGATGGATACTCTTGTGTTACTCATCCTGACACAATGATTCAGTCTACTTTCTCGTTCTGAACACACATGATACTAGCACAAGGTAGTATTTAATCATTACACTTTAATCACTACACTCCCACTGTCTGGCTCAGAGCCGACAAGCGTTATGGGTCTCCTTCCCGCCTCTCAATCCGTAGCTACCGAGTCTCACGATTTCGAAGAGTCAAGGAAAGATTTTTCCCATCAGGGCCGTGTACATCCACGTTTCTTTAAAAAGTAAGCAATAAGAAAACCTGTCGAGAAAAACCCACACTTTTGCAACCTGTATGATGAATTATGCACATAGAGACCGTTCAGCTCTATACGTCTCCTTTTTCCATATTTTATTTTGCTTCTGCCGATGACCGTAGAATGAAAACAACCCCGCCAGGCACTGGATCTCCGTTTTCTCACAGAGAGGAAACCTACATCCGTGCCGTACAGCTGCACAAGCCATTTCGCTACGCTCTTTGACTCTTACAACTTGATTTAAATGAATAGATAAACAAGGAAACCCCGAAAGTGGAGACTCTTCGGGTGCTGGACCCTGAGCCCGGGATCTTTAAAAAGAAAAGGAAAAAAGGAAGGCACAATTGTGTGTGATCCAACCGTCTGGTGCTTCCCTCGCTGTCCAGCTCTTGTCATGAGATCTTGGAAATGAGCTTGGATGTTGACACCATCCTCAGGCCGAAGATGCCTGCCCTTGGGCTTGTTCTTCCAGATTACGTTCACAGACCAGAAGATGGCGCTGTGCGAAGCTCGGCCCCAGAGGGCGAGGGGGGTGGGTTTCGCTCCCAAATTCACACCCAGTCCTCTCCCCCTAAATTGGCTCAAGATCCACTCCCTGCAGCTGTCATGGGGCAGAATGGGTGACAGAACCCCTTCTGGCTTGTGAATCTTAGCCCGAAGGAATTGACCTACGATGTTGTTGTTATGTGCACTCAAGACTTATGACAACCCTATGAAATGAGTCTTCTCCAAAATGCCTTGCCCTCAACAGCCCTGCTCAGATCTTGCAAATGCAAGCACATGGCTTCTTTTGGGGAGCCAGTCCGTCCATCGCGTATTGGGTCTTCCTCTTTTCCTGCTGCCCTCCGCCTTTCCCAGCATTATAGTCTTTTCCAGAGAAGCTTGCCTTCTCATGATGATGCTCAAAGCAAAACAGCCTCCGTTTCAACACCGTTGCCTCTGGGGATTGTTCAGGCTTGATTTGATTGAGGACCCACGTCCATCGCGTATTGTGTCTTCCTCTTTTCCTGCTGCCCTCCGCCTTTCCCAGCATTATAGTCTTTTCCAGAGAAGCTTGCCTTCTCATGATGATGCTCAAAGCAAAACAGCCTCCGTTTCAACACCTTTGCCTCCGGGGATTGTTCAGGCTTGATTTGATCTAGGACCCACTCGTTTGTCTTGCTGGCCGTCCAGGGTCTCCTCAAAGCTCTCCTCCGGCACCGTATCTCAAACCAATCATTTCCCCCCCCGTCCGTTTTCTTTATTGTCCAGCTTTCGCACCCATACATATCACAGCTGGGAGAGCTTGCTAGTCTACCGCTAGTTAACCTAGGAAAGCTCAGCTCAGCGCTACTCGCTTTTTTTTCTTTGTGGGATTATGGCGCCATCTAGTGGCTGAAGATTTGGGGATTAAAAAACGGTGCAGGTTTCCCTCTGGGTTCTGTTTGGGGAGATGAGCAGAGCACAAGTTGAGAGAAAAGAAAACGACATTAAATTCTAATAAATAAAAGACAGCACAATCCGGCAGAAACTAAAGGCAATGGGATTACACTACTGTAGTTGCAGAAAGACCTTACGCTGGCTCTTGTGTCACCAATACAACCAGATCTGCATTGGGCTCTTGAATTCAGGACTCAGTTGAACCAGTCGCCTTTGGATCAGATTCAGGATCAGATTCTAGATGGTGGAGAGGAGAGAATTAGGAGAGAAGTGGGATATTTGCTTATGGACAGGTCTAGCTTTCAACGGGGCAGAAGGGGGAGGCAGAGAGACCCTTACCAGCACTGTCCAGTCACAACACTCGCCATGATATTCTAGATCCTGGTAAGGTAAAGGTAAAGGTTCCCTCAGTTGAACCAGTCGCCTTTGGATCAGATTCAGGATCAGATTCTAGATGGTGGAGAGGAGAGAATTAGGAGAGAAGTGGGATATTTGCTTATGGACAGGTCTAGCTTTCAACGGGGCAGAAGGGGGAGGCAGAGAGACCCTTGCCAGCACTGTCCAGTCACAACACTCGCCGTGATATTCTAGATCCTGAATTGGCCAAAAATGGACAAAGAGCCAACTCCAGTCGTGCGGGTGAACCCGGAATGGGATCGGAGTCCGTCACCTGCCCTTGTTTATATACACAAACACAGCAGTGGGCAAAATCGATACACAACTGTGAAAGTCAACCAGCCAGCCCCATGCAAAACTGCTGGTACGGCAACAGGCTAGAACTAAGGGGACCTGGTTCCCTGAATCGGCCAAAAATGGACAAAGAGCCAACTCCAGTCGTGCGGGTGAACCCGGAATGGGATCGGAGTCCGTCACCTGCCCTTGTTTATATACACAAACACGGCAGTGAGCAAAATAGATGCACAACGGTGAAAGTCAACTGGCCAGCCCCATGCAAAACCGCTGGTACGGCAACAGGCTAGAACTAAGGGGACCTGGTTTCGAATCCCTGCTCAGCCATGGAACCTCGCTGGGGGCAGCGATCGTGAAACCGCTCCTTAAATTCATCACATACCTTAAAAACCTTGTTTCAGATGGCTTGAAGTGGGATGTCACTGGGTGGCGCAGGAGAAAGACGACAGCTTAAGCGGGAGCTGAAGCACAAGGACATTTCGAAATTTCAGGGATAATGGCTTACTAGTAATCATGCCCTCCCCTTAAAAAACCACACCCAGAAGCAAGCGTGGAAAGGCGGTCGCGAAACCGCTCCTTAAATTCATCACATACCTTAAAAACCTTGTTTCAGATGGCTTGAAGTGGGATGTCACTGGGCGGCGCAGGAGAAAGACGACAGCTTAAGCGGGAGCTGAAGCACAAGGACATTTCGAAATTTCAGGGATAATGGCTTACTAGTAATCATGCCCTCCCCTTAAAAAACCACACCCAGAAGCAAGCGTGGAAAGAAAGAGGACATGATTGGAAGCCTGATAAATACAAATGATTCATAGGAATCTCCCTTGTTTCATGTGGAATTCCCAGAGGGAGGAGGCTGGTCGGTATGCCCTTGGAATGGTGGAATAATAGACAACAGGTGGCCCTAGATGCTGCTCTTACTCTGCCATCAGCGCTTGTTCTGCTAGAGTTTTATTTACAACCTGGCATACTGTGTAGTTTGCAACCTCGCATGCTAACTGGGAGGGAGTTTTCTGAGCTGGGGCGATTGTCTGTCCAGCACAGCACTGACCAATATTGTTCCTTTCCACCTCTGAATTCAAAGAGAGCCCCCACCACTCTGCTGAGTGTGTCCCTTTCCCTCTGTTGGAGGCAGTGGTCTGTTGTTGATCTGTTTGGCTGGTTGCTAGTGTGTGTGCAATAGAGAAACCACTATACACAAGTCTGTAATTTTCAAGCCACTGGAGGTAAAGAAACGGTTTTTATTCTTTAAATGAATTATTGAGACTTTAGGTGGGAGTTAATGAGAAAGGGGTGGACTATCTGGGGAACTTGAATCTATTCTCTTCTGTGGAACTCTGTACTTCTACTGTGAAGTGAAAGGGAATATTGCCGGAAAATCAAAACTCTGCAACAGGTTCTTGTGGTTCTCAGTGCTTCCGACACAGACCTCTCCTGTGCTCTGGGGGAGCAGCTGCCGAAAGATCTTGGGTTCGATTTACAGCTCTTGCTCTTGGGCTTTCTTCTTTGTCCAGATAAGCCCAACCTGGAAGGGGCCGGCACCACAGGAGGGATCATCGGGGGCCTCATTGCGGCCATCGTGGCCGTGGCCGTGGTGGTCACTGGCATCCTCATCTGCCACCAACAACAGAAGAACCGAATGGATCGCGAAGAGGATGAGTAAGCGACTCGGTTTTTGTTCTGGGCACCCGGGGAACTCCATGCCACCTCACAGCCCTGCTCTGTCCCTCCATGTTTCCCTCCACAGCCAGGCTCCGACCCTGCAAATGAGCTGTTATGTGGTGCATTCACTTGGGAAAAAAGGTTTTAAGGAGAGATACACCCCAGGCCAGGAGAGAGAGGGTTCTGCGCACCTCACATTTAGGTTAAAATCAGTCCTGGCTTGCTCAGGTTCTGCATGATAGCAGTGGGTCCAAACCCAATTACAGTAGGACTGCCGTATCCGCAGGATCAGCATCCATAGTTTCAGCTATCCACTGCCTGAAAATATAAAATTAAAAACTCCAGAAATACACATTTCCTATGTGTATTACCAGAACTGGCCATTAGAGGGAACCAGAGACTGTGCTAGATATAAAGTTTTCTATATCCAGGGTTCTGAGCATCTGCGGGGTGGTGATGCTTCTTGGAACTTATCCCTTGTGGATACTGCTGTCCTGCTGTCCATTCCTGTACCTACAGGGTCTAAACCGGTCGGAAAAAAAATTAAGTCGACTAGAATGTTCAGGATTACAATAAGAGATCCTAGGGGCATCCGGAACAGATTGTCCTGACCTCTCCTTTTACAGGAGCTTAGAAAATGGCCTTCTCTCAAATCAGACCCTCGCGCCGCCCAGCCCAGTATCAGGAGCTTGGACCGGCAGTGTCGCCTGTCCGGAGTTTCTGGCAAAATCATTTCCATGCGGTGGTCCTACGTTGGGATTCTGGATCTTCCTGGCTGGTCTCTTATCCGATTCCTACCCCCTTCCTGACCCTGCTCATCTCATGCAAGATCTCATATTGAGAGTGCGGCTGGAAGCTGTCTTTCTCGCTATAGCAGTGCAGGGTTGTGTGTTTGTACTATGGCCTCCAAGATTCTCCAAGCAGCAGGGCCAGGGGGTGCTTGGGGGGGGGATTCTGGGAGTTGTAGTCTCACAACATACCTCTGCACGGATGTCATTCCTACAAGACGTAGCTCCCTTCTACTCATGCAGGCCTGTGGTTCATCTAGGCTGGTATTGTCTGCATGCCAAAGAGATGTTTTACCTAAGCCCTGCCTAAAGATGCTAGAGGTTGAACCTGGGGCTTCCTGCATACCAAACCTGTGCTTTCGCTGTGAATGACAGCCCTTCACTTGATTCTCTTCCTTCCTCTCGTTCCTCCAGCTTAGAAGGACCTCCTGCCTACAAGCCGCCTCCTCCCTGCCAGCTCTCTGGGGAAACCGAACCGGTAAGTTCCAGTCCCGCTCTGCTGACGGGCCAACGCCGTCTCGATGGTGCCCTGCCAAGCTGGCGCCCTCTTGTCCTGTCCTCGGACGTTGACCTCAGAGGTCCCTTTTCTATTTGCACTCCCTGCGAATGCCCGCTTGTTTCTGATCCGTGCCACTGCCCGGCCCTGGGGTGCCGGAGAGCAGCCGTGGCAAAGTGCTTCGTACCCGTGCTTATAGGGCTGCTTTGCACACACAGAGAAGGTGGGTGGGTCGGGCAATGGAAGGAAGAACATGGTTAGAGGAGGATCTTTATGGGGTATGGACCCAAGCCTGGAACCGTGGCAGAGTGGGACTACAATGCCCATGATCCCCTTGCTAGCACCGCCAGGGGCTGGTGACCCTTTGCAAAGGAATCTGTCCCTGTTACTCCTTCCCAGTGTTCAAAAAGAAACATGGGATCATGACTGGATGCCCCCATTGAAAAAGAAATGCATTGTCTTGCTTGTTCGGTTGCTCATTATTTTTTGATTATTTTTTTTTTAAAAAATCCCAGTCTGTAGGACTGATAAGAGAATGGCACAAAACCAGAACGTTTCCTATCAAAATGCTTCTATTCTATATTTTAAAAAATCCCAGAAAACGTTGATCATTAGATAGACCGGAGTAACTTCGTTTCTTGCTCATTTATGTTGTTTTAGCAATGTAACGTTACACTTTTTACCACCAAAATGACTAGTTACAGGTGCCTATTTTACTTCTCATTCTTTTGCTTCCAAGCTTTGCCAATGTCCATGCGGGCTGGGAGGTATGTTGGAATTTCGATCCAAAATAGGAATGTTTCTGTGTGCATTTGTTACCCAGTGAGGCTGATCCCCCTGAGCCCAGTCCAACTTGTCTTCCATAAAAATTGTCCGTCCTGATGGTTATTTAGCCTCCATCAACCTGCTCATGCTCGGATAACGTGCACAAGAGCCAGGAAAAGCTGGATTCTAAGAGCTGCACCCATCTCCCCCAGAAATAAGCAGATGCGTACCATTTCTCCTGTTATGGACAGTTTATTCTCTTTTGGCCGACTGTTCGAGCGAGGCAAAGCATTTTGTGGAGCAAGAAAGCCGGGTAAAGTCTCGTTCAGTCCTTCCCTCTGGCTTCCTTCAACTGCCAACCTCCACGTTGCAATCTTAAGAGCTAGAAACTTGTGCACACTTTTAAACGGAAAGCCGGGACCCTCGGGACGCTGGATTCTCCTTCCCACTACATGGCACGGGACGACGAATGGGGCACCAGCCCACTGGCGCCTGGCTGAGGATTAAAAACAACAACAAACCACCTCGGATAAAACCCATCATCAACAAAGCCTATGAGCTGCTGGTAATGTCTTCCTTCTAATTCTGAGAAAGCTGTCTGGTTCAGAAAAAGGTTTCGTGAAGCAACTTGGATGGAGGAACGACCTGCCTCTTGAGTTTGGTGCCGGGCCATTTTAGGACTTATTGCGAATCTGAGAATTTCTCTCTTTTCTCCCTTTGGGCAAACCAGGCTGCGCCTTCTTCACTGCCTCTCTGGTTTATTCCAGGTGCCTAAGCCCACCGTGGCTGAGAGTCTCCCGCTCAAAGCTCCTTACTTGCAACCCAACGTCTCTGAGAATCCCTTTGGAGGGGCCGTTAACCCCAGAATGGAGGTGAGGGGCCGGGCAGGGTCACCAAAGCATGCTGGTGGTGGTGGTGTTTCCTTAGGGTGGGGCCCACGCCGAGCACCGAGATGTTCCATGAAAGGACCGAGTCTTCTTCACTCCAAGAGATAGAAATGGATCTCCGTGGATCGGGTCTCTCTTTTGGGCTTCCGCAAGCCTAGGTTTGACTACTCAGCCCCGTAAGGATTGCGTCCATATCACTCAGCCTGTGGAATTGGGTTCTTGAATGCATGCCGCTGAATCTTGAAACTCTTGGCTTTCTTTTGCTTTGCTCGGAGCATCTCCCGCTTCTAGTTCTTATGGGCTGTAAAGAGAAGTACTTGGACGTAGAACGTACACAGCTTGGTGGCTTCTTGTTTTCCGCTGCTCTTTGCTCCTCTCGCAATATAGAAATGAAAGCGTGTCTCTCCGGACTCTTGACAACGTGGCATGGAAACCCCGGGGATCTTCTCTTGGATTCCACCTTGCTTGGATCCTGCTGCCTCTGCATGAGCTGTGTTCTGGGTGTGCGTTTTGGAAGACTATGGATGTTTGTGAAGTGATCGTCAATGCTAGGGCACTGCGTACACCCATCACCCTACACCCGTAACAGCAGAGATGAAGCAAAACCGCCAGGGCAATCTATCTTTCTGAGCTACAGAGTCTCAGATTCCAGGGGGCTCGTTTTTAAACTAGCCCCATAGTTTTCACTAGGAAAAACCCAGGATGGGGTTATGACCTGGCCACAGAAGCTTGAGATGCGTATGTTTTGAGTTCCGGCTTCCAAACATGCCTGAGCAACATTGGGCCGTGTGATGGGCAGGCAATAGGAAGCCTTTGGGTTGACCAAGCCTGGTATAAATAATAGTTCTGTTTACGCCTCTGTCTTTCGCTTCCAACTTTGGTTCCCTCCCCAAGGAAACCCTCCTTTTTCCAAGTAACCGACCTTAGGGACCTTGATGGCAGGCAGATGAACCTTCTATGTCCATGCTAGGGTGGCCACTTCCACGTCGCCCAAAAGGAGAACCAGAAAGGGCACCAGTTGGCATATAGTTCCAACCTCCCAGAGTAGACCTTTGGTCTAGATGGGCGGGATAGAAATCCAATAAATAAGTAAATATGCCACTTTATATGTAGGGATGTTAAATTAGAAACCATTTCTGTGAGTTAAAGCAGCATTACAGTGTCTCTCCCCAGAAGGGGCAAGATGGCACCTTCTAGCCTTCCCAGTCTCCTTCCTTATCTTTAAATTAGACTTGGATCGAACAGCCCTTCAAACAGAGGACTGACTCTGGCAACCCTAAAAGAGGACCTATGGCCATCCCACACCAAACACAGCCAACTTTTTAAGTATTGAGCCATTTAGAAGAGAATCCAAAGACAAGCCAGGAAAGGGAGAGCAAGAAATACAAATGAAATAAATAGATTTTTTCCCCCACCTCCCGTTTCTCTGCTCCGCAGGAGGCCCCTCGATACCACGAGTTGCCGACGCTGGAGGAGCGCGAGGGCACCGCCGAAGCTGGCCCCAGCCTGGAGGACGAGTATTTGGATCAGATCAACCCCATTTACGATGGCCTTGCCTTCCCTGCTGAAGAGGAGGAAGTCGCCCTGACTCCCCTTCCCACCGATAAGGCCTTTGTGATGTCCAGGGCCATGTACGTTTGACCTCAAAGGCTGAGTTGCTGGTGGTCGTCCAGAGGGAAGGAAGCTGCCCGGGGACCCATCTTGCGTTTCTCCGAGAGAGAGGCCGTTTCTCTGTTGCTGCATCCCAGTTGGGCCTCCAACCTGGTGTTCTCTTTGGCTCCTGGCTTCCACATGTGCCTTCTTAGATGGACAGGAGAATACACTTCTCAAAGCAAGCCTTCTAACATCTTCCCTTCCTTCACAAGCCAGGCCAGAACTGGGGGCTTTCCCCTTATATCACTACCGCATGCCAAACATGCTGAGTGCCTTCTTCGATTTTTCATGCTGGATCATCTGAAATGGGACAGCTGGTGGCAGCTTCTGTCTCCAGCCTCTCTTTAATCTGAAAGAGACCGTCCTGCTGACCCTTTCCTGCTTCTGAGCCCAACATACCTGGACATTTAGGGAAAGAGGCTGAAGGCTGTTACCGAGGCTGTTTACAATGACGGGCCAGACCTCAAAGCTCACTCTAGGGCAGAAATGCAAGGCAACAAGTGTCCCTCATAGCTTATCCCACACACACCCCTTCCTATGTCTAGTCACCAACCCCCATATGGTACAAATCTCGAAGAAAGGATAAGTTAGAGCCCTTGTTTTTTAAATCTAGTTTTCCACATACGGAAAGGTTTTTAACTGATCCTTTTTTTAAATGTGGGGGAAAGATTTAATTATGCAATTACACCTGTATTCTGAAATGGTGCAATCCAGGAACAGTTTTACTGCCAAATGACAGGTTTTGCTCATTTGGGTGAAACAGTTCAAAGCAATATGGGCAACCCAGTGTCCTCCATATGCTTTCGATTACAAGGGCTGCAGTCCCTAACCATTGATCATGCCGGCTGGAACACAGAGGGTTTGTGGTAAAAAAAAATATATGGCAGTCACCAGCTCACCTATCTTTGGTTAGGGGCAGGAAAAAATGTCTACCTGAAGTGGAGCAACGAATGGCACCCCATCCCAGGCCATGGCACATTGCCCATGAAGCTGGAAGTAAAGCCAATAAAATAAATAGCTATTGCTTGCCTTTTTATGGCACACAAAAGCTGCTGCAGCCCTCTCCATTTATCTAATGGTTGAGCCGGTCCTGCTCCTGGATTAGAATAGCACTCCATGTGGAAAATGTTTAGACTCCCGCAGGGAATGCCAACCAGCAACTTTCAGGCCACTATACTGTGTCAACCGTCCATGTGGTTAGGTGTTAAAAAATGTGTGTCCAATGAAAACGTAGCTGTTTTATTTATATTTCAGAAACAGGAGAAGTAATCAGAGTTGCCTTTTAAAGTTATAACTCCAATAATAACCAAGGGAGGCCTTGGAACAACATGTATAACTAATTATTTTTTTAAAAAATAGCTCTCCAAGCCTTAGCTAGAAGCAGAGATGTTGACAAGTCTTTGAGTCCCAAGTCCGGGACTTGGGTATCAAGTCCCGAGTCAAGAGTCCCTGTTAAAGCTAGGCATTTTTCCCCAGAAAAAAAAGGGAGGGAGAGTGGGTTCTGAGTTGGGAGCTGAGTCCTTGAAAAATAACCCTGAATCGAGTCCCCAGTGCAACTTAAGTCCGATTTGACAGCAAATCCCATGAATTGAGTCCCCATTTCTGGCTTGGAGTGGCATCATTGTACTCTACCAGTCCTTGGGAGCTCATGTTCTCTGCAGTCATGTTGAGCTTCCAGGCATTGGGATATCTCTGCTGCCCTTGAAGACCAGCTTCTTTTCCACAAATATCATGCCTGCACTCACCCACAGGAGCTGTCTGCTTTGTCATGAACGAGCTTCCTCATGCAGCATCTCCTGAGTCAGAACTATCTTTACTTACCATATTTTTTGCTCCATAAGACGCACCTTTCCATAAGACGCACCAATTTTTTAGGAGAAGAAAACAGGAAAATATAATCTGTTTTCTTCGCTCCATAAGACACACAGACTTTCCACCCTCCTGTCTTGTGGGGGGAAAGTGCATCTTATGGTGCGAAAAATATGGTATTTTTTAAGACAACCTGCTGAGAATCATGCATGTTTAAGAAGAGTTTCCACTCCGGGTGGGGAAGAATAGTTAGCAAATGAGCACTGGCTTGATTTCCCCTCCCCAGTTTTGCCCCAGACTCCGGTCGTGACTTGAATTTTGAACCTCTGTCGAATTTTGAACCTCTGTCAAGAGAACTCGGGCAACGCCTGCTTCTGCTTGGTTCTCTGGGGTTTGGTCTGAAACTGTGAAAGTTGGTGGGGGTTTTTAGGTTCTTTTTTTAAAAAATCTTGTTAGAAAAAAATGAATTGATTTAACCATTCTAAGGCATCCAGGTCTCTCCACACTCCTGCACTGCTGCTGTTTCCTCTGAAGATGGGCGCAAGACTGACGCTATGGGACTTATATTATGGTGGTCATGATTTTGTGCCAGCTCCTCCTTTAACGTCACTGATCTTACTAATTCCCTGAAGTCTCAGGATCTGAGGGAGAGAATGATTGTCTGCACACAAAAGCTCCCCCGCCACTCCTTTTTTTAATTTTATTTTTATTTTTTGGTGCCTTAGCTTGACACTACTGAATGGTTGAATTTCAGTGGGGACACAGTGGGATTTTTTTAAACTTTTATCAATGCTGTTTCTTTAAAATAAATGTTTTTCAAACTCATGTGTGATAACAGAGGCATGTTTTGCAGTTGGGAAGGGCCAAACACAGCCACTGTCTTACATCTGTGAATCAGTGGATTTACAACATGGGCTTGAAAAGCTACTTGGGAGATGTACAGCGAATAGGATTCTGCCCATTTTAGAAAGCAAATAAGAGAAGCAAAACACAATATCCTGAAGTTTCACAGTATGCTTCACCAAGAAGGTCTGGGATATATTATGTATCAGTTACAGTAATGGATATTTTCCATTTAGTCTATTTTAGATATATAGTGGGACCCCATTATCTGCAGGATTAGTATCTACTGATTTACTCCTCCACTGTCTGAAAATATTAAAAAATATCAAAAGAAAAATCCCCAAAATATATATTTCTAACAATGAAGATACCAGAACTGCCTGCTAGAGAGAATCAGAGACCATTTGCTATAATCTGCGTATTTCAGCAACCGATCCCCCCAGACAGAGGGATCCAACTTATATTTGTAGCATTGTTCCAAAGCCCTCTAATAAGTTTGATTTATGTCTTATCTTTCCCCCAAGGATTTCTTCCTCCTCCCTACTTTACCCTCATATCAACTTGCAAGATAGATCTGGTTGAGAGAGAGAGAGAGAGAGACACTGGCCAAAGGTCACACAATGCATTTTTTGGGCTACGTGGGGCTCCAAATCAGATCTCCCAAGATGCAGTCCAGTGTTTTAATTTAAACCATGATTATGCTGCACTGATACTCCAAGAGCCCCTCGGGAATCCCTATTGAGAATTCACTGCATGCCTCACCCCAAGTAGACTGGAAAAAAGAAGAAAAAAACCCAAGACATATCAGGAATCAAAGGACAGTCCGGGGTTTTTGCTGTCAGATCATTTTTTATGTCGGGCGACCCTGTGAACAATGAACGGGGTGTACTGAACAAAAATGTATTCTACTAATTAATAATGAAAACAACAATCAAAGGCTAAGTGGCCTCCTCCCAAAGCCTCAGAAAGAGCATTGACCATGCCCAGGAAAACACTGTTGTTTAGTCGTGTCCGATTCTTCGCGACCCCATGGACCAGAGCATGCCAGGCCCTCCTGTCTTCCGCTGCCTCCCAGAGTTGAGTCAGATTCACGTTAGTCGCTTCGATGACCCTGTCCAACCATCTCATCCTCTGTCATCCCCTTCTTCTCTTGCCTTCACACTTTCCCAACATCAGGATATTTTCCAGGGAGTCTTCTCTTTTCATCAGATGGCCAAAGTACTGGAGCCTCAGCTTTAGGATCTGTCCTTCCAATGAGCACTCAGGGTTGATTTCCTTCAGAATGGGCAGGTTTGTTCGCCTTGCAGTCCAGGGGACTCTCAAGAGTCTCCTCCAGCACCACAATTCAAAAGCATCAATTCTTCGGCGGTCAGCTTTCTTTATGGTCCAGCTCTCACTTCCATACATCACTACCGGAAAGATAAACCATAACTTTGACTATTTGGACTTTTGTCGGCAAAGTGATGTCTCTGCTTTTTAAGATGCTGTCTAAGTTTATCATCGCCTTCCTCCCAAGAAGCAGGCGACTTTTAATTTCGGCAGCTGCAAAACTCTAGCAGCCTTTAACCAGTAGCTATGTTGGGAAGGGAAAGGAAAGCTGGCTTCGCATAAGCTCTCCTACCAATGATTGTTGGCTTACTGCTCCCATCGACCCCAGCATCCTGGCTGTGGACGATGGGAGTTATGCATATTTTGGAAATATGTGTGCCTTAACTTCCTGAAGAGGACCCAATACATCTGGACAGAAACATTTGAACAGAGGTTGGCTTTTGAAAATACAACAGAGGGTCTTCTGGGGAGGGACACACACGCACGCACGCACACACACACACAAGAGGGTCTTCTGGGGAGGGACACACACACACACATTGTAACATTTTGTTGCTTGGTTTGTATGTTTGTATACATATACAAAGATACAGATAAACACACAATCACACAATTCTAGACTGCGAAAGCCCCCACAACCATAGCCCTAATTTTAGACAGTCCCTACTCTACCCATTGCGACAAGGGGTAAAACCTTAAAAAAAAGGTTGCTATGGAAACCATAGGCGCAAGGAAGGGGATGAGCGGAAATCCGTAGGTTACACAAAGATGGCGTCGGCGGGGAGACTTTCTTTCTTCCCCTACTCGATGTCACTGTGGGCCGCTCTAGCCCACAGTAACATGTGATCGTCGCGATGGCGCTCGGGACACCCACCTGACCTTGTGCCTTCTTTTCGCCGCTGACCTTGCTCACTAAATAGGAGCGGCCCGCCTCTTCATTAAGGCTGCGACCAATGAAAAAACAGGGAAGAGCTCCCTGCCCCGCCGCGTCCGCCATAGAACCAATGAGAATCCGCAGAGGGGCGGGGCGGGGAAGGAAACAAACGACCAATCAAGAAACAGAGGCCAGATTCATTTCACAAACGGCCCAATCGAAACGGCTTTCTCAGCAGGACCTTGAGGCGCAGGGCCGGCCAATCGAAACCGTCCTTCGGAGCGGAAGCGGCGGGGCGCGACCATGAGGGGGAAAGAAACTTTGGTTTCGGCGAAGAGGCGGGCCTTGCATAGCCGTCAGCCAGTAGCGTGGCGGCCAGGATGAACCGGGGCGGAGCTGAAGGGGACGTCAACCAATGGAGACGGCGAGAAGGGGGTGGGGCCTCAGGGCAGGCGGGTTCGGGTGTCTCCCGGCTCCAGCCCTCGCTGCTGCTCCTGCCGCCGCCGCGTGAGTGTTGAGGGGGAGACTGGAGAGGAAAGCCTGAGAGGCGGCTGGGCGGG